TATTATCCATGTGCACGACTGACAGGTCAAATCTGCTCCCTCTCTAATCTTGGTGCTGCTGAGAGTTTGAGATTGAAAGTTTGCGTATAAAATGTAGAAACGCAGCTGAAGAAAGCAGAATCCGGGACATGTTTGGCGATTTAGAAATCTTGGCTGAATGTCATTTTTAAGTCCCAAATAGAGGACATGTCCGGGAAAAAGATAATGTATTGTAGGCTTTTTTACCGCGTGTCCTCGCGCTCTTCTCAAAGCTAAAGTCAGAGCAGGTGTCTAGCGCGTCTCTGTGGGTCTGCTGCAGCAGCAGAGCCCGCGAGTCTGTGCCGGAGACTTTTCTCATGCACACAGACTGGGCCGCTAAGGTAAAGTCTTATGTGTGGGAAGCGCTGGTGATGAATTAGGAATCACACTGAACCACGATATGCTATGACCGAATTGAGGCTCGCACGATGTGCGCTACGTCGCCATTCGGTGCCTTATGTTGCTTAGCAGCCTTATGCAAAACAATGTAAAGATCGCTTGACGTGAAGTAAATAAACCAGTAACGTTAGAGATGTTGCTAGCGTTAGCGTTAGCGTGTGCTACCGTCACAATAGCTTTCTATTGTAATACACCATAACTAAGTGTAAAGAGCATGTTAAATCTTAGAGACTTTGTTTGCTAGCAAGCAGTGTTGTGATCACGTGGGCTTTGCACGCTGGCTCTGGACGCTGCTGGATAGAATAGCTGTAACGGAGTTTAGAGAGTATCGGACTGCTTATATTGGAGATTTTTAACGCACTCCGATATAGTTTTCGGACTGATATTAGACGAATTTCCGATATTAATATCGGATCGGGACATCCCTATTAAGAAATGTTTATGTATATTAATGTTCAGTTTTTTTTTTACTTCAAAGGCAATGAAAACAAACTATTATTTGCCATAAAAGCTCCTTTCTTTAAATGTCTGCATCCGGTTGGCACTCGAGCCTCTATCAGTTTGCTAGACTGAAAATGTCAGCTACACTCTTGTCTTTTTCTGTTTCTGTAAAATTCTCACGTTTAATATCAACAACCCACCTCTTCTGCACGACTTTGTCTTTTGGGAACGTGTGGAAACTAAGGTAAGAGTTCAATTTCTGACGCTGTGCGTTGCTGAACACAGCAGTGGTAGTTATAAGTACTGTTCTCACGTCTTTGAAATTACACTTTTAAACGTTTAGATGTCATATTTATGTAGCTGATATAAACATATATAAGTGGGCTATAATGGTATAAAACATTAAGACAACTGTCCAAAACATTACTTGTTTTTATCAGTAGCGCTCCTGTTGTAGCACTGTACTGTACGATCGGCGGAAGTTGGCTCGGGGTCTTAAATTTTACCAGAAAATGGTCACGCGCCGCCATGCATAGAGCCCATTAAAAAAACTTAATTGGCCGTAGAGTATGAGTGTGTGTATGGTTGTTTCCCAGTACTGGGTTGCAGCTGGAGAGCCACTGTGTAAAACATATGCTCGAATAGTTGGTGGTTCATTCCGCAGTGGCGACCTCTGAAATAGAGACTAAGCTGAAGGAAAATATTTAATTGTTGAACGATTGTTGAATCATTCAATTATTTAATTGATTAATGTTTTGTTTTATTTTTATTGTTGTAGTCAGTGCCCTTGCATTGCATTGATGTCACCCTGTCTGCATTCTTCTGTGATTCTAAAGCTGGTCACACACTGCGCAGCACAACTCAAAGTTTCACTTTGTGGCACAGTAGGAATTTGGTTGCAAACAATTATCCATACTCCAAAAAAAAAAAAAAAAAAAAAAAAATATATATATATATATATATATATATATATATATATATATTAGGGATGTAACGGTATCAGAATTTCACGGTTCGGTAATACCTCGGTATGAATGTCACGGTACGGTATTTATTGAATCATTTACAGGAAAAAAAAACTTTTGAAAATACTCCAAAAAAGTGCCAAAAGTGTCAATGACATACAAATTAGCCATCTATCTGTAAGCTTTGAAACACTAACTTCAATTTTAATAACAAAAAATTATTAAACCATGTAAAAAAATAAAGTTTCAATTTAGTATTGTTGAAAACTCACCACATTCAACATTTAATCACTCACTCACTTAGATAGAGATGGGTTTAAAGGAAAATTATCATATAATTATAATCTGGTAAAAGCTGGTATCTCTGGGTATTTACAATGTCCCCTGCAACAGAAAAAAACCCTCTCATTTGGGACTGAGGTTTCTGGGACAAGAGAGATATGACTTGGCCCATGTTGACAGCAGTGGGTAACGTTGTGCATTGTCTTTCCCCCACTTGAGAAGACAAACCATGAGTGAGATAGAGATCTCTTTGCGGTACAAGTCAATGTCTGCATCAATCTGAACAGTGTGCTGTGTTTCTGCAGTCCCCATGACTGTTATTAGTCGTATTCCCCAACTTGCAGGCACGTGCACACATAGGGCTCAACCTGTGCAGTGCACATGCCCTTTTTAGTCTTGGATAGAAAATGCCCTTCCAAAACGATCAAAAGTGCCCCCGCGACGCGACACAACCTCCGTCCAATCCAGCCCTTCAGTAGGCGCGCGACAACACCTCTCTTGAATATGCGCGCTCCCCCCCTCGGCGCTTTACAATACGCGCGCCACAACACAGCTGATCAGAACGCGCGCCACAACACAGCTGATCAGAACGCGCGCGACAGCACCGCTATTCAGCACGCGCGCGGCGACAACACCCGCTTTAGGTTCGATCATTTCCATCTTTTTTTCATCTCCGCTACTAGCAGCACACTCCATTTCCGCATTACTGGATCTGTAGCGACAACAGACCGCAAAGGATTATGGCCACGCCTGGGCTGATGGGAAATGAAGTTTCAGCTACGTCCCGTTCGCTTCATTCGCCTGAGCAAATTTTCTCAGAAGACCTATAGTTTTACCGAGTCATGCGACTTCGGTAATATCGAAAAAAATTAATATTGCGGTATGACGGTATTTACAATACCGTTACATCCCTAATATATATATATATATATATATATATATATTTTAAGGGTGTCACGATCCTCCAAATCCTCGATTCGATTACATTTTCGATTCTAAAGTCACAATTTAATTCGATTTTCGATTATGAATAATTAATTAATTAATGACCAATTAATTATTTGTAGCCTACCGTTTAAACTACCTGACCTGCATGGTCTTTGTTTTACCCCTAAACAAATCATACAGTAAATGAATAAAGGCAAGATACACACATAATTACCACCTGTCAATCACTTATTCTGCGGGACTCGTGAATAGGCAGTGATCTGTGTCGTTATAATGGCGTCGGTAAAAAAGACGCACAAACAACAGGAACCAGCCAACAGTATCTGAGGTGTGCGCTAAAATGACTAAGTACATATGAGTGAAAGATTGAAGCAGTCCTCTGACTACCTGGACCTGCTGTCTCGAACGTTTGGCTGTGTATGCGTCTGTGTCTGTGTGGTCACGTGATGTGCATTTTCAGAGGTATAGAGTTAGGAGGGCTGCTCAGAAATGATACACGCCACTGTGGATGTCAAATCGTTGTCGTTCTAAAATGCCATTTAAAAACAAAGACAGTGTAAACAGGGCCTGAATGTGTACTTTTCGCGAGCGGATTTGCAACGGGGATGGATGGAGGATCGCGATGCCGGTGTTGTTTATCGGACGAACCGTACGTAATACGTACATAGCAGAGCTTGCAAAACTGTGGTTTTTTTTGTCGACAACACGAACGTTGTCAACATAACTCACTGGAAATCCAAAATGCTTACACACCTGCGACTTCACTGAAAGAGGAGAGGGTTTAAGTTCTGTCGACGGGTCTCCTGCTTCTGCAGTTTAACAAGCACTTCAACAAGCCTGTTTTTTTTTTCCGCTTGGCAAGCCAAGCTGACGTGACATGGGGGCGTGGCAGCATCGGCGATTCTATTTTTTGATTCGATAATCGAAATTGAGCATAAATTAAAAAATCAAAATCGTGAAACCCCTAATATATATATATATATATATATATATATATATATATATATATATATATATATATATATTAGTGCAAATATGTTGCAATTAGTCTATTTTTTGTATATGTCTGCATATTTCTGTAGAATAATGGAATAATGACTGGAAAAATGACTGATGAAAAATTCAGCTATGCCATAACAGATATAAATTTAATTTTTTTAATTTTTAGATAAAAAAAACATAGACTTTTAATGTGTATTTATAAAATACTGATTTCAACAATTTTACTTAATGCAAACCTTTGAATCAACTTCAAAAGTTAATTAAAACAAACTATGAGGAGCATAACCTACAATATACATAATGTATGTGAGACTGTGACCATTTTCACCAAATTAAATCATTACGTACCATCACTTCTGCCTGGTATCACAGACATATTCTTGTTCCCACATTCTTTAGTATTAATGACAGAAAAGAACATTTTGTAATTTCCAAAACATGAAAAATATAGCACATATAGCAAGATAAATACAAAGAGACAAAAAAAGAACATGATACAATAGGATTGTGCTTCTCCTACTTTTTAAGGTTCCCCTGTGACTTTTGACATAAAGCACAGAGGTTGACCTGAGGGTTACTGTTAAAAACACCTGCCACAACACCATGTTCCCCCCTAGGGACGAACAGACGCTAATATCCAACACAGATTAATCATTTTTGAACTGCAACCCGCTCATGGAAGCTGTGAGACACAGATTGTATTACACTGTGCTATACTGTAATCTTACATGCAGATCTTTAAAGAGCTATTGAAGCACATAGATTGTGAATATTGTTAAATGTGAGCTGTAGCTTCAGGTAACCTGTTGCATTACTGCACAGCATAATTCTACCTTAATAAGTTTGCACACACATCCGAATAGCAATAATCGACTAAAAGGAACAAAGGGGAGCATGAAATTAATTAAATGCACTGCAAAATATGGAAACCTTTTCTCAGCTTACCGTGTAAAAGCCAATCCTACACAGGGCTACTGAGAGCTGAATGTGTTCTGACATCGTCCCCAGCAACAGCGTTACCCCAGACAACAAACAAGCCGAGCCAGAGTAACTGAATGAGGCCAGGAGGAGGACAGCTTTGAAGAGGGAACACAGAAACACACTATACGACGACAGAGAATCAATGGTCCTTCTTCAAATCAAAGAATGGAGAAAGGAGGAAACAGTTCTGTTCATAGCCCATTCATAAATAAACAAGAGCTAGTGGTGAATATTCAGAGAGCGAGAGAGAGAGAGAGAGAGAACGAGAGAGAGAGGGAGAGCGAGAGAGACAACAACTAAAGGGGATTAGTAGAGCAGTCTCAAGAGATTATCAGCTCAGTGCCTCATACTGCAAAATAAAACTGCCAATTGGATTAGTTACTTCTACACACCTACACATGATGAGTTATGAAATAATAATTATAATGATGAAGGTTTATATCAATAATCACATCTCCAGGATAATGAAAAGAGCAGTTGGACTAGACTTCTTAATATCATATATATATATATATATATATATATATATATATATATATATATATATATATATATATACATTTTAATGAGCATACAAAACAATGTTACTAAATTAATAATCACTAAAAAAGTGCTACTGGTCATAATGATAATACTACTGAAATAGAAATTTCATTTTTATAATGTCCTGGTGCCTTAATAATATACCCACAAAAGATGTTTGAATTGGTAACTCTTTTACTTATAAACAATGGCAACTATACTATATTTTATGTACTCCTACCAAACATCCACAGGGTGGCAGCAGCGATTTATCTTCCATATCTGTCTGTAAAGCGTCTGCCTTCCCAGAACAAAAAAAACATTCGACATGCTCTAGTTGTGCACTAAACTGATTGAAGTGTGGGTGAAGCACCTTAAAGACCTGTAATGTACATGAGTTTTGTATTTGCTCCTACTTAGTAAAGGATCTTTGACCTGCTTGTGTGAGGTAATGTTTCCTCTCCTCTCTCAGCTGTTACACAAGTTTTCTCCACTGTTTCTATCGCAAATCAGCTGTGATAGCCCCGTATAGACCGCTAACCACGCAGAACCATGCAATAGCAGCCCATTCTGGGTGCGGGAACACAATGACCGATCACAGGCGTTTATGAACTCACTCGACAATGCTCAAAAAGCAAGTGGAATAATATTTACATTTATATAATTGCCATAAATGCTCATGTTGCTTGAGTTTCGTTTGATACATTCAAAAAGAGTGTTTTCTTTGAGCATGCCAAATTTCAGGTACAGTTCATATATCTGACTGCTTGTATTAAAATACACAATTGTATTACAAATAATATATAAATATAAATGTATTTAGAAATTATACACTTAAATATAAGAATTCTTGTGCTGTGAAGTAAAATCTAAAATTGTGTATGGAAAGCATTGTCAGTGTACCATGAAAGTCATGAAATGGATATAAAACTGTGACACAATCTAAATGTAAGGGTTTTATAGATCTTTGGTTAAGATTTTAGATATAATTTATTTAACTGAATTTAAAATACAAATTCTCTTAACTTGTCATGAAAACTGACAACTTTGAACAGAAGCATTGTGTAGCATATTTTGTGAACACACTTGGTCTTTCTTTGGTGCTATTAAATCCACATCAAACATGCAGCTCATTCATGAAATTATAGTAAATCACATTTTAAAACACAATTTGCATTTTTGATCAGATAAATCGCAATTAGATTTTTCCTCCAAATTGTGCGGCCCTATTTAAAAATATTATTAAATGTAATTTATTCCTGTTCTGGCAAAGCTGGATTTTCAGCTGTATTTTTTTACTGTCCTTTAGAAATCATTATAACAATTTATTCCTTTAGTCCTGACAATTCTTGTCAGAGTTGAATACTGCTTAAAATTTCAGTAAAAATGACATTAAATCAAGCGTCTTTGATTAGAAAATTCAAAAGAACATTTGTAGTATAAATCCTTTCTAACAATGTAATTGTATTTACTGCCACTTCTCCAGCTGCAGTTTTAACATGAAATGACACGACATCTACAGATGCCACTGGCACATGCCAATGAGTGTCGTGACACTTCCGGTGGCATGTCCTGTTTTCACTGTCATGTGTTATTCGGTAGTGGCATGTTCAGTGACCTGTGTCACTCAGAGTGTCGCGCTGCATGTCACTGCAGTAACATCGACACCCGGCGAAGCTTAATGACACTAATCAACACGCGCAAAATCATATTTAATGATTACGTGACTTTTAACATGATTTATTGCGTCGCAAGTGAGTTTATATGCTGGACTACCCCATGGTGTTTTAATTTAAAAGCATTTATTTTATGTATTCATAGTTATACTTCTGGTATCTATTGCTACTATACATAATATTTAATACACACAAACCTATTGTAACATGCTCGTCTGTTGTGCCATATATAACTGCATCGTGGCAGTTCCTTTGTTGGCTACAATATGGACTTCTCAGTTTGTTAATTCATTAATTTATTATATTATTTAAATAATTACTTTATTTATTTTCTTCTCCACTTCTGATTAATTTAATGCATCCTTTCTTAAAAAAATAATGCCTAATTTGGAAATACATGCTTTTTGGTAGCTGCATGATGTGTTGAGCACAAGCTCAGGACGTTCTACTATGAACATATCAGTTCTCTTCACCTACTCTAAAAATGGTCTGCCCCGTCTCTTGCCCAGAAACCTAAGCAGAGGAATGTCTTTTAATAGCTTTGCTTGGTCCTACCGGTACTGCGCTACTTTACATTTACAACACAAAAAACCAAAAGATTTTCTGATTCCAGCATCATGGCAGGAGAAGGGATCACTATTTCCCACTGGATTTCAAGCCCTGTGCGCTACCAACAGCTCTTTAAAACAAGAAATCTCCAAGAAAGCACTGAAGATCATCGACTCTTTGCCCTGCCAGGACCTGAATGTCTGCCTGTTAAAGTGGACACTGAGGGGGCTCAAGCAGACAGCGAGGACGAGGATTCAGGAGAGCCTATGTTTCAGATCCTGCTGGACGTGACTCAGTTTAAACCAGAAGACATCCTCATACAGGTGTTTGAGGGGTGGCTGCTGATCAGAGGTCGACATGGGGTGAGGATGGACGAGCATGGCTTTGTGTCGAGGAGTTTCACAAGACACTATCAGCTGCCTGACTGTCAGCTACATGCCGGAGACCTCAAAGCAATGCTGTGCCATGACGGGATACTGGTGGTCGAGACCAAGGACCGATGGTGGCCAGCAAATGATTAAAGAAAGGCAATGACTGAGAATCAATCATTAAGACATGATCAAACATGTGCTGTGTTAGATGAAGGTTTTTTTTTTATATATATATCTGCTATCTAGTAAAGATTTGAACACTATCTAGCTTGATTACCTGCTTAACACATGTGGCAAAAAGTGGTCAGTATAAAAATAAAATAAGTGATTCATGTGTTTATTTTGGTTCTTAGGAATTGCTAGGGGGTCTAAAGAAGTGTGGAAAAAACATATATATTTTTTATTTTAAATAATTTGATTAATAAAATATAAAAAGATAAAATGTAAGATAAATAAATGCATATTACTATAAAAGAAAAATAAAACATCTAATTTTATTTAGATAATAAAATGTATAATATAATTTTATTAGTTTAACTTTGCAGAAACTAAATATTTATTTTCCTAATCACATTGTAGAGACATACTTATATTATTTATTATGTTTCATATATTCAATTATGGGGTGACATGGTGGCGCAGTAGATAGGGCTGTCGCCTCACAGCAAGAGGGTCGCTGGTTCGAGCCTTGCCTGGGTCAGTTGGCATTTTTGTGTGGAGTTTGCATGTTCTCCCTGCATTTGCGTGGGTTTCCTCTGGGTGCTCCGGGATCCCCCACAAGTCCAAAGACATGCGGTACAGGAGAATTGGGTAAGCTAAATTGTCAGTAGTGTATGAGTGTGAATGAGAGTGTATGGGTGTTTCCCAGTGATGGGTTGCAGCTGGAAGGGCATCCACTACATAAAACAAATGCTGGATAAGTTGGCGGTTCATTCCACTGTGGCAACCCCAGATTAATAAATGGACTAAGCCGATTAGAAAATGAATGAATAAATGAATATTCAATTATTCTCTACAGAAGAATCTATATAGAGATGTCTTTCATAATTCGAAAATGGGAGTTCATCGCACAAGGGTAATCAACTTTACTCTAAAAAAATGAAAATCCCTGACCTAGAGCCACTAAAAATCTACTTTAAAAAACAGTAGCTAACTGTTCCTCCAGGATTGTGGTTAATTTTTATTGCTATGACATCTCAATTTGTCATAATACAAGCAAGTTTTTCTGCATGCCAATGTCATAACGCAGCGATGCTGAACTTGGCATTAACCTGTTTAGTACAAAGAATTCACCAGGGGACATAAAAGCAGCAAACAAACAATTACTCTTTACTTACAGGTGTAATGTTTCTTCTATGTGTCATAATGTATTTTAATTTCAGTACAGGTGTAACTTAATGCAGGGTGAATCCAGAACTGAATGCAGTTTCATGAACACAGCAGCCACCATGTTACGCTTTATAACTAAAATGTAAGAACTAACGTTAATTTGGAATTGGAAGTTAGGCAGGGGCTAATCAGGGCTTTGTGTTTGTTCTTTTTTGATTGTTAATGAGGTGGGAAAGGATTTTGTAATCGACTTTGAATGTTATTATGGCAGTTCTTTAATAATAAAAATGATAACTACGTTTTAAAGAATAGTTTATGGAAGATATTATGCATCCAGTCACAAAACAAGATAGTTCTGTACGTTAACCTTACTATCGAATCGATTGAACCAGTTCACAAACGCTCTGACCACAAATCTGACTGAATGATGATTGATAGTAGTCGATGACTGATATTAGTCAAATCAATTTCAATATATTAGCTTGAACTGTGTTTAAATGCCTGTTTCAATGTTGCCTTGTTAATAATTACAAGATATAACGAAATTTAAACAAAAAAAACTTTTAAAGCTTTCCTGGCGCGTGTGGTATTCGCTAAAATGCTAGCAAAACAGATAACGTTATCGTTGTTAGCTGAATATCTCATTTTATAACATTTTACCATTGAACTTTTGAAAACAAAACTTACAGAATGAGTAAGAGTTATTTATAATAACGTTAGATGACAGAACTCACCATTACGCCGCGCTCTTCGACAGTAGAATCTGCAACGGTCCCTCTGCCTGGACAGCACATTGAGAACAACCGAATAATTTGCATTGAAGCGCGGGCAAACTCTTGGCGCGGTAAAGAAACAGGAAGTGACGTAACTACGCAAACCTAGAAAGTTTTTTATTTCAACATTTAACTAAGTTTAATTTGACAGGAATATGGATAACTTGGTTTGTTCGCTATCATTATTATTATTTTTAATTTTAGATATTGTAAAAACTGCTTTTATTACAGTCAACTAATAGACATAACACTTTATCAAAAGAAAAAAATATTATAAAATTATATATTTGAAAACGAAATACATTTCGCAAAAGAAAGAAATTTCACAGAAATGTCTGCTCTTTTTGTTCTTTCATTTTCTACAAGTTTCTTTGGTTTTCCCCCACAAAGAGATCCAAAGAGATGTGGCTTACTTTATGTGAATTGGGTAAACTAAAATTACCATTGACCTTGGTGAGAATTTCCACCAAGGATAAAGTATTTTGTCAGCAAATCAAATATAGTTCCAATATAATATAAAATAAGTACAATGAATAAAAGAAATAAAAGATGATCAGTATAGGCACCCTCCAGATATTTTTTTTACAAAGCTGTATTTCAAATGATCATTACAAAATTCATAAGTTATATCATAAGTACAGTTTATATTTTATGTAAATCCTACAAAAATGTTTTTGGGGATGTAGAATTTGTATGGTAATTAATTAATTATTATTTGTAATTCCTATCGATGATTTTAATTGTTATTGGTTGTATTTATTTTATATATAGAATTATAAATGTTCTTATCTTCTACCATTATACCATTTTATTAACAACAAATACAGAATTATCCATTAATATACAAAAAATAGATGCCAGAGTGAACATAAAAAAACAATCAGTAATTCAAAATCTTATATTCCTTAGGAATATTACGTCTTCTTTGCTTAATTGCTTTTTTTATTAACAATGTTCTCCAAACTTGTGCAGTAGTCCTTAGTATCTTGAAGGAAGTGAACAAAATTTGGATTTAATCCAGTCCATTTTTTTATGGATTAATTAATTAATTAATTAATTAATTAATTGGACTAGAAATGTAATTCTTTTACATGTATTGACCTAAAAAATGCAACTATCACAATTTTGTAACTTGAATACAATATTTGTTTTCCTTCTAAGAAAATTTTCCAAATCCACCCAGAAAATCCCAGTATATATACAATCACAAAACATGGACAATAGATTCCTTTTCCATGCAACAAAAATCACAGGAATAGTCAATATCCCAATTAAATCTCTCTAAAACCTCTTTAGCTTGATATATACACTGTAAAATTGTAAATGTATCCTCTTTTACTTTGTTATTTATTCAGTTTATTTCATAAGAACGCCAAGCTATATTTAGTATATTTATTAGTATAACTTTGTTTAATAATATCAATATCTCCTTAAAAAAGGTTTTCTTTAACATATTTTCCTTTTAAAGATTTATTTCCATACTCTCTTATAAAATGAAGAAGCTGTTGAGATATGGTATTAAATACAATAGCATACTCCTTTGGAGTAACTGGAAAACCAAATTTATCTAAAAATTCACTGTAAGATAAATAATTACCATTTAAATTTAGAAGTTTTCCAACTAATACAATATTATTTTATTACCAATTTTGGAAGAAGATTTATTTTATATTGAATACATCTCTTATTCCAAATAATGTACTTATTTGGGGAAATTTGTGCCTAAATGCCAGCATCCAGGCCAATAAAGCTTGTTTGTGATATTCAGCTAATTTGTCCTTATCTTCTACCAGAAGTGTCTGGACATTTACTCCATGACGTAACCGAGTGTGGATGTAAAGAATCACTTCATTGTAAAGATCTCTTCAGACGAGCCGATTCGCTGAAACCAGTCAGTCTTGGTTGTATTTGATTCGTGCTGCCTGCTGCAGAGCTCCGCCCTCGATTACCCGGACTGGTTGAGCTCGGCGCCGCTGTTCAGGGTGAGTGAGTGAACACTGCGGTCGGTGTGGGACGGACAGACAGCACAGCAACGGGCGGTAAACTCCACTGATGAAGAAATGACTTCTTTCCACAGCTTTGGGGATTTCGATCACGCGAGCTGATTGACAGACAGCTTATCATATGACCGGTGTGAAGGGAAGGAAAAATAGTGGGCTTACGGTTCCCGCAGGGGCGCGCAAGTTGTTGTCAAATCTGCGGGTCAGTGAGTGAGTGAGTTTGGGTTGGAGTTAGCTAGCGTATACGCTAACCTCACACGCTTGGATATTCAACGCAGCTTGGAGAGACATTTGGTGTCATGGCTCTGCGAGCGAGGGCTTTGTACGACTTCAATTCAGAAAACCCCGGGGAGATATCGGTGAAGGAGAACGAGATCGTAACTCTATACAGCGAGCAGGACATTGAGGGCTGGCTGGAGGGGACGAACAGCAGAGGAGCGAGGGGGCTTCTGCCTGCGTCCTACGTCGAGATTTTGAGGAATGACACGGTCTCGTCTTTTAACAACAACTCTCGATATGCCAACGTTCCCACTGGTGCTTTTGAGAGCTTTAACAGTACACCAGCATCTACTTTCTCAGCCTACCCTGCACTACCTCAACAACAACAACAACAGCAGCCTCATCAAGGGACTCCAGCCAGTGATGATGACTGGGATGATGACTGGGACGATCACTCATCCATAGCCGATGAACCAGGGGTTGTTGGTGGCGGATACAGGAATTATGAAGGAAACGGACCCTCTGGCTACAGCATCTCTACATCGTCTATGCCTAGAGGTGCACAGCAAGCCAAAAGTTCAGCCACGGTCAGCAGAAATCTGAACAGGTTCTCCACTTTCGTGAAGTCTGGTGGTGAGGCGTTTGTGCTCGGGGAGGCGTCTGGCTTTGTGAAGGATGGAGATAAAATCTGTGTTGTGATGGGTCAGTATGGTCCAGAGTGGCAGGAGAATCCATACCCGTTCTCTTGCACTATTGATGACCCTACAAAGCAGACCAAGTTCAAAGGCATGAAAAGTTACATTTCCTACAAGCTGACACCGACCCACACGCAGAGCCAGGTCAATAGAAGATACAAGCATTTCGATTGGCTCTACGCTCGATTAGTGGAGAAATTCCCTGTGATCTCGGTGCCACACATCCCTGAAAAGCAAGCCACGGGTCGCTTTGAAGAAGACTTCATTTCTAAAAGGAGAAGAGGGCTGATATGGTGGATGAATCATATGACCAGCCACCCTGTGCTGGCCCGGTGTGATGTTTTCCAGCACTTCCTCTCGTGCTCCAGCACAGATGAAAAGGCTTGGAAGCAGGGGAAGAGGAAAGCAGAGAAGGATGAGATGGTCGGTGCCAATTTCTTCCTCACCATCAGCACTCCACCAGCTCCTCTCGACCTGCAGGACGTTGAAAGCAGGATTGACGGATTCAAGGTCTTCTCCAAGAAAATGGACGACAGCGTGATCCAAGTCAATGCCACACTCAGTGAGTTTGCGAGGAAGCAGATAGCTGGCTTCAAGAAAGAGTATCAGAAAGTGGGACAGTCTTTTAAGTATCTGAGTCAAGCATTCGAGATGGACCAGCAGTCATACTCCATTGGTTTGAACCAAGCGATTGCATACACAGGAGAAGCCTATGAAGTTATCGGAGACTACTTTGTGGAGCAGCCTAAACAAGATGTGGACCCAGTGATGGATTTGCTAGCCCTGTACCAAGGACACCTCACCAACTACCCTGATATCATCCATGTCCAAAAAGGTGATATTTACTTATTTTTTATTTGTGTTATCAACAGTAGGAAAATATGCATGATTGTGTTTTGAGGCTTGATAGATAACAGGATCACTTGCTTTCAGAAGTTTGTTTCTCTTGACTGATTTGTTTGCATTATGCTGCGTTGATGGGTTCACTGGCCGTGCTGGTTTCGTCTGACTGCTGAGTCACATGGGGTGAGAGCTGTTGCTGACGTGCTGTGTGTGCTTTTCCTGTGGTTGGTAAATCAGACAAATGGGATGCCAAGTCTGAAACTATAGACACGCTGCATTGTTCAAGAAGGTTGCTGGGAGAGTTTCAGTATGATGTCATTCAGTCAGAGCCATTGATTTGAGCGTTTATCTTACAGTGGTAAATTCTAGTTTAGTGACACATCTCTGGCATTGGCAGTGCACTTGATCATAAAAAAAACTTTAATTTGAACTCGTGTTGACATGTACTACTAGAGTTTTTTTCTTTCATCAAGAATCATGATGCAACTCTCCATAAAAAAAAACAGAATGCTAATAAAGCCCGGAGAGGATATAACACCTTCAGCTGTTTGATTAACTACTGTAATATTTTTGATAGGCAGCAACGTGTATACATGCTAGGTTATAAAATAATTTTTGAAATCAACTTTCTTTGTTCACTCAGGCATTCTAATTAGTCTTTTTAAACTTAATATTGTTAATGATAGGATCAATTGTAATGTTTTGCATGTTTTTTTTTGTTTTTTTTTTTACAGCTGAGCGTTCTTTATATTTCATGGCAGTTACATCAGTCAACATGATTTAAATATTCTATCTGAGCTTTAATCCACAGTAATTGTAAGACATTTTAATGTTGCAACTATCCAAGCTCAGTGGAAAGATTTCCTTTTGATCTTATTTGAAATTCTTAAATCAGTTTATATTTAAAATGTATTGATTTAGAACATTAACAATATTTAAAATAAACTACATTATTATTGCTATATAATGTATTTCTTAATATTATTTATTATAATTCAAATGTAATAATATTTAATATTTCTTAGTTAAAATATGTATCACACTACGGTTTTTGAGTCATGGATTGGACCATTTTTAGGATCAGCAAAAAGGAGGAAACAAATGTCATTTGCTTTCCGTTTATACAAAAATATTACTGCAAAATGCATTGATTTTAACAAACAGAACCCAGAATCTGTAATTATAATAAAAATAAAAATCAAGAAAGAAAGAACCAGCTGAAAAAAGGAAAATATTCAATACGAAAAATGATCTTTGCTACTGTTGCTTATAATGCTAAATATGGAAATCTAACATATTGTACAGCAAATCATATTTATTTTTAATTAATGATTTTAAATTCACACAAAACTTCATGTTTCATTAAATGTGGATCATTTTTGAAAACTTATTCAGTGACATAATTTTGATGGTCGTTTGCCACCACCCATTGGTTAAACAATATAACTGCTACAACATTCACCAGCATCAAGTTCTTTTAAACAGTGATTTTAAACTTAGCATAAACTTCAGTGTTTATATCTGAAATATAAATTATTATTCCAGTACTTCTGTGTTATTTAATTATTTGTAGCTAACTGAAAAAATGAAAAACTGAATCTCTCTCCATCAAACACAGATTTGAATGCAGCGATTCGAAGTATTAATAAACATGCAAATCATTATCATTTATGTTGCGCAGATTTGAATTGAGATCACAACCTTTAATGTTTAATTGTACAGCTTTACACTGAATACAATAATACAGGCTAAACAATCAGTGACAGTAAACACCTTTATTTAATAACCTAGGAAAGCATTTACGTAGGTCCCACCACAACCTTTTCCGTCATCATTATATTTTACAGGGAAGCCAAAATGCTTTAATGCACATGATTTGAATGACACAGGAGGTGACCTCTCTGCAACTGTTATAAATATTGGATTAAAAAAAGAAAGTTATTAATCCGCAGGTCACACACGTTTATAACTATGAGTTGTGATCCGTACAGATCATGGATCAGCCGTGATCCGTTACACCCCTAATTTATAGCACTCACATATATATATATATATATATATATATATATATATATATATATATATATCATTCATATCAATCAATTTTTTTTTTAATATATTGATTTAAGTCTGCATTAAATTGATCAAAAATAATTCATATTTTTAGTTTCCTTTCAAGTAATTGGACAAAATTGTTTTTTTAAATTAATAATAATATAAATAATAATAAATGTATCCTCTTTATATATTGGTGCAGGATTTTATATCCACATAGTTTGTTTTCAAAGAGTCTGACTTTTATGCAACACTCAATTTTACAAGCTGTTTGCGCAATCTGCTTGTAACTCATCACCGCAACATAAGCCAATAGTGTTAATGTCAAACTCCAGAGAGACTGTCTGTAAGATGCAGGATTGCAGTGTTTGCTGTCTTCATACAGGATTATAGTGAATGTTTTAATGCGTGTTGTTTAAAAAATTAGCTTTCTTTTTATGACTATCAAATGTGTAAACCAGATGTTGAATGAGTTCCAGATTGGTGTTGCAGACACACAGCTCTGTCACTCTATTATCACTGTACAGTGCTTTGGAAAAACTGTAATGCTGTGTTTTATGTCCAGTACAGAGACCTCAGACTGTGACTGATCCAGACAACTGTCTAGCACTGAGGTCACATACAGCCGTGCTCCATATGGCATACCTGGCCGTTCACCAGAAGTGTGATACATTTTTAGGAAATTCATATCACTATTTTTCAGATTATCATTAGGGCTGCACGGTTAATTGAAGATGATTGTCCTTTGCATTTTAGCAGTATGGTTTTGTAACCAATAGTAAATATTGTACACATGCTTCCAGATGGAGCAGCATTTACTACGCAGAGATGAAATTAATTGTGTAATAAATCGCAGAACATTTTAATGAAATCTCAATTCTCAATATGTGATCGTCGTTACAGCTGTTTCAGTAGCTTTTAAGTAAATCTGGGGTTCCCACAGCTGAATGAACCGCCAACTTTTCCAGCACATGTTTTACACAGCGCATGCCCTTCTAGTCGCAACCCATTACTGGGAAACATCCTTACAAACTCATTCACATGCAAACACAACAGACATTTTAGCTCACTCAATTCACCTATATCACATGTCTTTGTACTTGTTGGGGGGAATAGGAGCACCCGGAGGAAACCAACGCTAACATGGGGAGAACATGCAAACTCCACAGAGTAACGCCAACTGACCTAGCCGAGACTCGAACCACAGACCTTCTTGCTGTGAAACGAACGTGATACCCACTGCGCCACTGCATCACCCATACCACATTTAGAAACACGTTTATACTCACTTCATAACTTCTTTGAGGGGATGTGGTTTTTTGCACAGAATAAAGCATGAAACATATTTCAAATGCTAAGCTGTGTTAAAGCCGTTGCATTATTGTATATGAAGGCAATGGGAAATGTCGTCTTTTCTGCGTTCAGGCTGTGGTTTTACCCACAATTTCACAGTTAACTTAAGCAACTGTGAGCAATTAGCACAGCGAAGATGAATCTATAAGTTCTGAAGAAACAATGATTTAGAACTCGAATGAGTCACTACAAACTATGACCAAAGCTGTCCACATTCTGCCCCCTCTGTAACGGAATAAATGCTGACATCAAATCATGATGTCTGACGGCAAGCAAACTGAGAAACACAAGACTGTCAAATCCCCAAACGAGTGAAGGAGGGGATATGATAACCACTTCCTGCCTCATCCCCCATAGACATGTAGTCTTCTGTCTGTTTGAGAAGAGATAATGCTAAATCTGGTTATGAATTCTGCTTATATAGTTGCGTTTTGGTTTGTGTTTTGATTTTGTTGTGGTTTCATTTATCCTATATATAATTTGCCATCTGTTTATGAATTCCCTATTCATCTCCCTTTTAATAAATGGTGGAATGAAAATCAATACTGTAAAACAACTGCACCACAGAAGCGATGCTTAAATTACTCTACAGCTAAACCACAACATAATGAGTAAATGACAAATACAACTTCTGCTTTCTAATAACCTGTGTAACCCAGTGCACGTCCTTTTTATTTGTAAGATGACCAGATTTTTAGGTCATCATAATGTTTTTTTAATGATGATGACGTTGTTATTTTTTTTTAATACACATGAGCAGAGCTTGTATTGATTTGCGCCAGTATAGAGCCTCCATTAGCAAAGGCAGTGTCGAGAGCCATTAGTGACATTGGTGTAAGGGGGCCTTTTTTCCGTCACTCATCTATGATGTGCTGTGTAAAATGTCATAGTGTTTGTGGTTCTTATGACAATGAAAGGAAACAATGACTCAGATGGTTATTAGCTGGGAAAGTTAGCACTTTGCATAGACCCTTAAGCCCACTGTCAAAAAGTCTGTTTGTCACATTTCCAGTGTTTAACTTGTCTAAAAGTAGCTATGTTTCCATCCACCTGTTTTTATGCACATTTTGGATTATCACATAATAAAGCCTGATGGAAATGCTAAGATGTGAATACATTTTAACAATGTGCATAGAAAACTTATTGAATACCTTTTATTATACTTTTTATTCGATAAGAATAAATGAGCTTAAACTACGATGCAACATTTTTGTGCGCATTTAAAAAGTCATGTTCTTTTGTTAAAAGAGATCATGTGATAATAAAAATGGGTGCAGTAGACGGCATGAATGGTTGAACCAAAAGGCAGACTACATTGTAAAACATCTGAAATATTGTTTTGGTCAATCAATAATGCCTTAATTAAAGTTCTTCATCACAGTGGTTCAGTATTATTATTACTTTATTATTATATTATTATTATTATTATTACCTCCAGAACTGTCTTGAGCATCTGTGCTCCCAAGGAGCATCTCACACCTCCAAACGTTACCACACGCTCATTGTGTGTCTTCATTGTCTTCTGAGGTGCAAGTTATTAGTTTAAACTTTATTAGTATAAGTTTATTATATTAGAAAAAGACT